CCAGGTATATTCTGGGAATATCATTTTGCTATGTGGGTAGTTTCACTGAGTTTTGCCCAGTTTGTTTCTCACCTGGAGTATCAAACTCTGGCAACACCCGGATTCCCCGTAGACGAGCGTATTCGATCACAGTCTGGATGTTTTCTGGCGTGTAGACTTTGGTGTGCGGGTTGTAGGCCCCAAGGCGGCTGAAATTGGGGTTGAATTAACTTTATAGGAGGCAAAAGTGGAGCAAAGTTGCCTGAGTTCTGGGAACCTCTGGCTCACATAGGGGAAGCTCTCATCGTCCACTATGTGCCAGTGGAAGACGTTCATTTTGTTGTAGGCCAGAGCGTCCAGGGTTTGCAGGATGGACTCCAGAGGCAGGAAGTGCCTGGATGTATCCAGCAGGAGCCCGCGGTGCTTAAATCTGGGGAAGTCTTCGATGGTGGTGGCGTTCAATCGAAGCTGGATGTTCAATTAGAAGCTGTTTATTTTTGCATGTTTTTCTCACCGTCAGGCCATCCTCTCCAAGGTAAATCAGCTGCGAAAACGTCTCCAGTCCTCGAAGAACGCCCCAAATGGTCTCAGATTGAAGCTCCGCTCTGGATGCGGTGACCCAGAGCTCATCTACAGCGATTGCAATAAAACCTATTTGACTATCTTCAAAAGCCCGCCTTACAAGATTCATCCATGGACAGGCTGGGATACTCATCGTCCACACAAGCGCCGCGCAGATTCACCTCCAGTTCCCCAAGGTACCCAAGAAACCCTCCAGTTTGTTCTGAGAATTTGGCGAGTTTCTGGTTGAGACGCGCAGAGTTTTGCTGCAGCAAGTCCCAGTATCGTTCCAGGGCGGATGTGAGGAAACTGCAGCTGTTTGAGGCCTGATGTATTTCATCAATTGGTTACTAACTTAACTCTTGTTGTATTTGAGTCTTCAATCATCCACTGGGGAAACTTACTTTGAAAGCGAAAGCTCTGGGCAGCAAAACAAAGTAGTCTTCGGAAACGTTTTGGAGTTGAGGTTTGGGCCAAATCGCCCCCTTGGAGGCTAAAATCGCCGGTCCTGCACGCCCCGCGTAGGTGGAAACTGAACAGAGGCAAAGGAAAATTGAGGCTAAGCGCAACTTTTCCATCTTGACTGTTTTCGTTGTGTGCTGCACCACTTGGACTAATCGATTTGAAGATGCAAGGATGCAGCTAAGTGGTGTTGAGTGTTTATCGCACATTCTGGGGCTTATCTTGAGGAAAACGTGATTTTTTGGTGTTTGAAGCACCATGAACCGCTCATATCAGTCCACGTTTATCCTGCGGCATTATTTTTGATAACTCAAGCTTGAGTAAGTGCCCAAGTGCTTATCGCTTTAATGGGCTTTTTACGTCTGGTGATAAATGTTTCTAAAGGATGGCAAATTGAACAATGATTAAACATTGCAGAAGCCACAGCGTTTACAGTGGACTTTCACTTTCATTTGAAGAAAAGTGGCCACATTGTGTAAATGTTCGTCTAACGACTCCAACGTTGCGTTAATTAAAGACGCGCACAGGAAAATTCCTTTGTTAAGCTTTCTTTTGCTGCACAGCGCGTCATCATCAGCTGCCCAAGTACGCCCCTGGTCAAAATCCAAAAAAATCTTCAATTAATCGAGCAAACAATCCATCTGGACCGCACCAACTAAACACTTCACTTATCATTAATTCGTTGTTTTAGCCATGCTATCTGCGTGCGTATGGTGCTTAAGATATAAAAAGTAGCGACTATAAGGCAAATGTTCTCATTAGTGCTACGAAGCAACAGCAATGAAGGGTTTCGCCTTGCTGATTTTTGCGCTTGGATCCATTTGCGTGGAGGCATACATTGTGAATCCGGGCCCAAAATACGTTGCCACCAAAGGAGCAGTTTGGCCCAAACCTCAGGAGCAAGAATTATTCGAGACGTTCTTTACCATCAATCCTGCTGCATTCAAATTCGTGGTGAGTTAATGCGAAAAAAGCATTCATCCCATGCAAACTATGTAAGTTCTAGTTTCTTGATTGATATCGAATAATTGAAAGATGATTGACTTTCTTGGGGATTCGGTCTGGGCAGTGGTGAAAAAGAAAAAGAAAAACTTTTTTAGCCACCTAAAAGCCTAAAGCTTTTGGCAGCTAAAAAAATTTTTCTTTTTCTTTTTCACCGAATCCCCAAGAAAGTCAACCATCTTTCAATTATACAAACTATTGGCCGAAAGTGACTGTAGATGAGTACGAGAGAGACTGGTAGAAAATGACAAGGCTAGTGTGGGCTAAAACGGTAAAAGCTTTTTAGCTACCTAAAAGCCTAAAGCTTTCGACCAATAGCTTGTATAATTGAAAGATGGTTGACTTTCTTGGGGATCCGGGCAGTGGTGGAAAAGAAAAACAAAAACTTTTTTAGCTACCAAAAGCTTTAGGCTTTTAGGTGTAGTAAGTAGTAAGTGACTGTAGATGAGTACGAGAGAGACTGGTAGAAAATGGCACGGCTAGTGTGGGGCTAAAACGCGAAATTGTTCATTTTCACGTTATTTCTTGTGGGGTTCTAATGTAGTGTTTATCTAGGTGGATAGTTCCACTTGCAACATTCTATACAACGCAGTCCGAAGGTATGAAGAAATAATCAGCAACCAGCGGCTAAGCAAATTGAAGAAAAAGCAGTCGAAACATATCGTCGCTGCGCCTGATGATGACGACCGATATCTGGGGCAAATCGACCAAGTCCAGATAAGTCTCAATGAAATTTGCGACGACACTTCCTATCCAGCCTTCCAAGCCGATGAATCATGTGAGGGCATGCCTATGCAGATGATAGGGCCATTCTATTGCCAACTTTTGCAGATTCCCTAAACATTGCCATTGAAGAATCCACTATCACAGCCAGGACAGTTTGGGGGGTTTTGAGGGGACTGGAAACGTTTTCCCAGCTGTTGTATACCGGGGAAGATGGATCAAGTGTAAGCGATTTGTTTCTGCTTGGGGCATTTCAACATGTTTCGGTTCCAGACTCGCGTGAACGCCACGAAAATCCGGGACTTTCCTCGTTTTCCTGTTAGAGGCCTGCTGCTGGACACGTCCAGGCATTTCATCCATCTGGCGCAGATTTATCAACTCCTGGACGCGATGGCTTATAATAAACTCAACGTGTTTCACTGGCACATTGTGGACGATCAGAGCTTCCCTTATGTTAGCATGAAATTTCCTGAACTGAGGCACGCGATTGGAGTCTTTTGCTTTGCGTAGTTTCGCTTATTTGCTGATTTTTTTAGCGAACTGGGAGCCTACAATTCGGTGGAGTTTGTCTATGCTCCAGACGATATTAAGGCAGTGATCGAGTATGCAAGACAACGCGGGGTTCGGGTGATTCCGGAGTTTGATACTCCTGGTAATTTGCGCAAAAATTCAGCTGGACAGAGGTTTACTCCTTGGTTTCAGGCCACACCAGATCCTGGGGAGTTTCTCATCCAGAGCTACTCACTCCTTGCGACGACATCGAGGAGGGCTCCTTTGGCCCGATGGACCCCACCAAAGACTCCACATACTCCTTTATAAAGGAGTTGTTTAGCGAACTGCGAGCTCTCTTCATCGACCCGTTCATCCACCTCGGAGGCGACGAGGTGGACTTTGATTGCTGGTAAATTAGGTTCTCTGCAAGCACCAGCAGGGGAAATTGAAAACTCAAATTCCAGGGAGTTAGACGCCAGTATATCCAGCTTCATGACTAGGGAGAACATTCGCAACTACAGCGGGCTGGAAGGCTACTATATCCAGAAAGTGATCGACATTGCTGATGAGCTCAACTTCAACTCCATTGTGTGGGAAGAAGTGTTCAACAATGGAGTGAAGCTCCCAAATGAGACAATTGTTCATGTCTGGAGGGATTGGGAAGGGAACTACTGGAACGACACCATGCGCAGTGTGAGCAGCAAAAAATTCCAACTAAATCACTGAAAATCATTCGCAATATTTCTTGCCATCTGTTTAATCATTAACAGGCTTGTGCAGCTTAAATTATCCAAAGTTGTTTGCGGGCTCGAGCCATTCGCCGATGTTAATCGCGAAACTGATTGATCGAAGTGCGCTCACGCGGGGATTTTTCAAGATTTCTGCCCGTTTTCGATGTTAAATAATGCGGCGATTTGTTCAGGTGACGAAAGCGGGAAAAAAGGCTCTTCTTTCGGCCTGCTGGTACTTGGATCATCTCAGCACTGGAGGCGATTGGGAGAAGTTCTACCAGTGCGAACCGACAAATTTCGGGGGCACTCCCGAACAAGTCAGCCTGCTACTTGGAGGTAATTGAGGCGGACGTTTCCAGCAGCTAATGAAAAAGTGTCTCTTAGGAGAAGCATGCATGTGGTCCGAAGTCGTTAACGACTACAACGTAGTTCAGAGGATTTTCCCCAGAGCGTCCGCTCCTGCGGAGAAATTGTGGTCTGCTTATGATGCTGCTGAGCCTGATCTAGACGAAGTTGCCAGAAGGCTGGAAGAGCACGTTTGCAGGATGAATGCCCGAGGCATACCGGCGCAGCCCCCAACAGCTGCAGGATTTTGCCTGTAGAGAACTTTGCCAATTTCCATCCAGTTTTGCTCCAGTATTCATTAAAAACAAAAAACGTCCAACAGTGTATTAAAAACCAGTCACCTAATAATTAAAGTTAAGCCTATATGAAAATCGCCTCTTAATTGCTCGGGATTTGCGTTTTGAGCGAAAGGCGAGGAAAGCGAAATGGAAATGAACACAAAGCACATTTTTACAAATTATCTAATAACGTAACAGAACTAAGCAAAGCTGCGGATATCAAAATTCACCATTTTTTACATGTTCCAGGAGTGTATTTTAATCTGAGTCCCATTTAATGAAATCAAGCCAGTTCATTGAAACTACCACAATCCAGTCCGATGTTTAAAATGTACAAAACATCACACGCATACACATTATGGGCATAATAGTTTCAATTGAAAAATGAACCCAAATCGTTCGGATCAGACCCCGATCTCTCAACGACTTTGATGTAAAATTGCCCATCCAGGGTGGGTTTCTCTTAAATGATACCGATTTCGCGCAACTTTTCCCGCATTCTGTTGACAGTGCCGTCCCAGAGGGTTTGAAGCGGTTCCCTTACAACGTCCATCGGCAGTTTCGTGATGATGGTCATTGCAGCCTTTAAAGTTGGTACCATTTCGCCTAGAAAAGACTGCATCAGCCCCGCTGCTTACCAATAAAATCAAACAAAATAAATTACCGTGACTGTAAATATTAGTAACTGCCTTAGTCAATAGGGTTTGGGAGGCTTGGGCGCTCTTGATTTCCCCGTTTTTCATGCAAGAGCATATCGATTCGGCTAGTTTCGGCAATATGCTCAAGCTATTCCCCATAATGCACGTAAATCCGCTGGCCACCGCTCCCAACATGCCCTGAAAATATCAACTGTTAACAGCTCAATGGACTACGCGATCCACTCACTTCGTCAGTGCCCATAAATACAACAAACTTCTCAGGATTCAGCTCCATTACGGAAACAGTCTCTTGAAGGTCCCCAGTGCTGTATATCAAGCCCACGAAAGTGTCCACTTCACCAGTAATATCCAACAGAAACTTTTTCATATCCACTGTAATTCAAAGGCTTTACTAAACAGTGCGCTGGGAAAATATGATTGCAATTCTTACGATCCAGTTTCGTGTACTTGGGAAAGTGGTGGTATAAAATCGGCATGGATCCAGTGTGGTTTGAGACGGTTTTAATGTATCTTATCAAATCCAAATGGGTTTCTGGTCTGTGATAGAGATCCGGGAGGAGGACAACGGCTCCAACTCCAGTTTTTTCTGCGTGCATTGCCTGAAAACTCCTTTAGATGCATTTGACGGTCTGTGGGGATTAAGGAACAGTTACCAGCTCATAAACGCTGCGAAGTGGCACCCCACCAATCTGAACCATCAGAAATATTCCATATTCTTTGCAATGAACCGCCCAGTAGTCCAGCAGCTTCTTTCGCTCGGTCACGGATAATGACATTCCCTCGCCCACAACATCATTAACTACAACAAGAGTTGATTAATTGCGGTTTTAACTCCTCATAACACTGCCGGTCGTACCCAAAATCCCCTTCACTCCACAAGCTTTGAGGAATTTCACATACGGCTTGATCAGTTCGTAAGACACGTCCTTCGTTCGTGACTTCGCAAAAGGAGTAACCACTGGACAGAGAAGGCCCCTGAACCTCATCATTTGCTAAAAAGTTTCCGATTAAGACCCTTCTTGTTCATTTTCATTTTGATTGAGCTTACTTTTTTAATAATTTTCTCCGATGGTGGCTGTGTGATGTTTTTCTTGTGCTTCATAGAAGACATATGCTTGAATACTTCAGATTTTCCGGATTTGTAGTCCTTTTTACAGAATTTGCAATAAAAGTAGGTTTCTCCATGCACGCTCTCTGATAGCCAAGGTTTCACTGTTGGGATGTCTTCCCATTCTTTTTTGTATTTTTGCGGATACTGGAAACAAAACATTCATTTGAGAAAACCTACCGAGGGCAGGATAAAAACTATCAAAACCCAGAGGAAGACAAGAAATGGATGGAAGCATTCGACGGTGGCTTATAGATGAATAAACAGAGCAAATCACCCGGCTTTTGTTGAACTCTAAAGGAATCTTTGAAGGGGATAAAGCACCGTGGGGAAAGGAGTATTTTCTATAATGCGTGAAAACAGGAAGCAGAAGTTTGATTAATAAGCTGTTTTGGAAGCCGGCGTATTAACGATTATAACCAGTTTGCAACCTTACCACTTTCTTAAAGTTAGCCCCACTTGTCTTATCCCGTTTCTTCCTTCCAGCAGTTGGATGCTCTTTCTTGATTCTTTTGGCTAGGGGCTCGTCGTCATCCTCATCAGACTCCGCTCCATCCAATTCGGGTTCGCTGCCCGAATCAGGCTTAAAGTCGGAGAAAAGATCCTTGGCTGTCTTTGGAGACTCGTCCTTCTTATCATCGTCTTTCTCGTCGTCGCGGTTCTCCTGCTCGATATCCAGCCGGATGATTTCCACCCCATCCTCGTCACTTTTGTTTTTCTCCTTCTTAATGGGTTTCTCCATTGCGGGGCATTGGCGAATTGTGCGGTCAAAAATTCTGGTATTTCTCACCCAAACTGGCAAGCCAAGCCTGGGGAAACATAACCTAATATGCCAAACAAATGGCCATTGGGCGTCTTGGGCCGTTTCGACCAATCACAGACCGAGTCGTCATGGGGAATGACGGTTTTCGTGAAGTGCGAAGTGAATTATTCGCATTCAAACTGAAAAGTCCTGAACATTCACATACACACTTATTATATTCGAGCTATTTCTTTGCGTAACTTCCTTATAAATACAATAATTCCAACTAAATAAAAAAACCTTGAAAACTATAGTTTTTTTTAATAAACCAAAGAAAATAATCAGCCGCTTTTTATACGTGTTGGGCTCTAAATAGTTTTTGCAAATAAAAAAAAATGTTTCTTGATAATTTTTCGGATTATTTCAATTTTTAACATTTTGGAAATGTGTATGGCTCAAACTGGCAACGTGGCCCCAATTCGTCAATTCCTAGGATATTCCATGAACTGCGCATGCACTCGTAACGCATGCATCCCCAACCGTCAATTCAAAAAGCATCACAAAACATCCCCCAAGAATTTGCTTCTCACCGATTTTAGGAAATTTCCCCGGGAGTGCTCACGTAGAAGCATGGAAATAAGTGAAGGTTACGAGTAAAAAGTGGGGTTAGATTAGAAATGACCCTCTCGTCATAAAAAACGGCAACGTTGGAATCTGTCTTCTATTTAGCTCCTCCTTCACATGTGGGCGATTGTCATTAACGTCATTTTCTCCACTGTCCAGTCGCCATTTCAGTTTACATTTCCATTCAAGAGAAAACATTTGACTGGGAAGCTTCGTCAAAGGGAAAAGGTACTTTTTTCATATTTCCCCTCACTAACACTAGTGTCTCTCACGTTGCTTAATGCGAACATCAACCTATGAGGGTTCACAATTTTGACGTTTCCTGCCTGGACAGGCTAGTAATTATTTCATTTTTCTTTTTCGTCCTATTTAACTGTACAATTGCATTCAAGTCAACTGACTCACTTTACAGCGAGCATCATGAACGCAGATCCAAGACGACCGGACAAGATCCAACGTTACGCCCCCAACAAAAACAATGCGAATGGAGACGATCTCACCCCAGACTACATGAACATTATGGGTAAGTGCAGTTGACTTGCTCCCATTCCCCATGCTGAGAAATTAGCAGGACTGTGTCCCAATATCTCATCTCAAACTTACCCATGGCTGGTGTTGTTTTCAAACATCAGGCGTGGACCAGGGACACCCTTAATTCAAGGGCACGTTATCACAAACGTTTTGTTTCTGAAAGATTTCTATTATCAAGTTTCAAGGCTCGAGTTTTTCCAGCACCAAGTTTCTTTATGGCGTATAAAGACAGGATCATCTTGAGTAATTCACTCACGTTTCTTGCTATTCCAGAATCTTTCAGGTGTTATTTGGCCTGCTTATAATGTATTGGATATATTCAACGTGGACACATCTCGAAGAAGTGTGAGTTAAAGAGACACTTAAACCTCGCTGTTCTCTGGGCGACTTTAATGGAAAAACTCGAATGAATTTACCAGATCTGAATCGTCTAGACCTGTATCAGCACTTCTTACCTAAACTTAATAACACTACATATTACATTACATCCTTTTATTGCTGTTAATACCATTATTGACAATTCGATAGCTGAGCTCCGACTATTTCAGTGGCAATTGTTCCCTTTTAGTGACGATATTAATTCATGCTTTATGCGTCTTAATCTGGCCAATTACTCAACGTTTATGTTGATATTATTTTTCTATTGCTGAGTGATGGACTAAGGAGTAAGAAGTTGAAAAATGTGTCTTAGGGTCAATGGTATTAAACAATGTAAGCTTATATTTAGAGAACTGGTTGAGCTGGCAAGCTCTAGTTGCCGTTGCTGAATACAGCCTTAAAATACAAAAAATACAGCCTTGGGAATGCTTCTTGTTTTCAAGAAAAATGCGAAAGTTTATCATTGATGCGGATCTTAAAAACTGCTCTTAGTCTGTGACTCATATTTAGAGAATCGGTTGAATAGCAAAGCTCTAGTTTTCATTGTCAGATGAGCAGTTAAATTGCATACATTTTTATAACAAACATCGTTCTAGAAATGTTTATACTTTGAACGCAAAATGCGCAAATTCAAGATTAATGCAAATGTTCAGAACCGCTTTTATTCGTTGGCTCGTATTTAGAGAACGGCTTGAGCTACGAAGCTCTTGTTGCCAGTACTGACAAGAGCTGTAAAATGTGCACTTTTTTGTACTAAACATCATTTTAGAAATATTTCCAGTTTTTTCACAACATGCGGAATAACAATATTAATGCTGGATTTGAAAACAGCCCTTATTTTGGGTCATATTTAGACAACCGGTGGAGCTGCAAAGCGCTGGTTGCCATTGTTGATTAGAGCCTTAAAATGCGCACTTTTATATACTAAACATCCATGCTACAAAAGAATGTTTCCCGTTTTCGAGAAAATTGCGGAAGTTCAAGATGAATGCGGGTCTGAAAAACTGTTCTTAGTCTTTGGCTCATATTTAGGGAACCGGTTGAGCTGCAAAGTTCCAGTTGATATTGGGAGACCGAGACTTACAATACGTACATTTTTGCATAAAACATCTTTTTAGGAATGTTTGTAGTTTTTGCGCAAAATGCGGGGTTGAGTTGCAAAGCTCTAGTAATCGTCGGGGGGAAAAAAAGGTTAATAAAGTGCATCAGTATTTCGGAAAAAGTCCTTTCCCCATCGTGTTTTAGGGTTGAAGGCAGCGGCCGTTTAGTTTATAATCGCGCTAGCGCCGTTGCTTTAAGTGGTATATTGAGGGTTGTGTGGGTTCACATTAGGGTAGTTAGTAACTAATATTAGTTAGTGCTAATATTTGCATTCCGTAGGTCAACCCCCGACCACGGCAAATGCAGCTGGTGAGCCGGTAGAGAAACACCAGGACACGAATGTCGAGCCGATTCTTCACGCACGCCCGGACGACGTCCAGCTAGTGAACGATGAACTCGCAGTTTCCTCTAATGCCGCTAATGTGATCCCCACGAGCTCTCAATATGGGGTTGCGATAATCCCGACTAGTTTAAGCGCCCCTAATAGCGATCTGGTTAGTGACACAGTGCCGATATCTTCAGATAACTTGACAGAAGCTGCTACGAAGACCGACGAGGCAAAGGATCTTCACACCACGCCCAGTAGGAACGATCGGTTCAAGGTGGTGAAAATTGCCAGTTTAGAGCCGTTTAAGCGGGGCAGATGGAAATGTATGGACTATGTGGATGAGGCTCCGCCCCCGAACGTGGTGATTCCGAACGTGAACAAAGCGGCCCAATCAGTGGGGGCCACCATACAAGGGGGCGTGTACTTGCAGACGCAAAGCCTACCGCAGCAGCAGATTCAGCAGATGCTGCTGCAAGGCGGATTTACCAATGGGGCGCAGTTTTTCCCCAATATGCCCGCTCACTTGATCCCGCAGGGTCAGTTCTTCTACCCGCAAGTAGCCAACGTGCAAAGCCAGACGGTATCTCAGCAGGTTGCCACCAGCATGCCCACGCAGTTCATCAACAATCAGCCATATTTTGCCGCTGGCGTCGTTACAAACGCCGGGGGATTCACCCTGCCCCAAAGTTACCCAAATATTCAGTATGTCCCCATTCCGGCACCGGGCAGCGCTTTTGTTCCCACCACTCAAGCTGTTCATCTACCCGCGAGTTTCCAGCAAAGTCAAACTTACGCAGGCCAACCGACGGCTTCGCAAGCCAACTTGAACCAGAGCATGGTCAATGGACACGCCTTCCCCCAGCAGTCCGACCAACCAGTACAAGGCAGCCAATTGCCGAATCAACCAGCGAAGAATGTGATAGTAGTTAATTCTCAGCCTGTTAATACTCATGGGGTTCAGAACCATCAGGCTCAATCGGCTGCCGGCATCCCCGCTCAGCAGTACCATCAGCAGCAAAGTGCCGGCAGCTACCCCCAGCAACAGATCCAGCCGAATCAAACGCAAGGCGGGCAAATCGTTCCTCCAATAGCGGCAGCCCCTACTGTTATCGCCCCAGTGATTGGGCAGCATCAGCAAGGTTTCGATGCCAGCAATGTGTACACTAATCCGCAGTTTACCATGAGTGTCCCCAGTTTGACTGTGCTCGATTCGAACGAGATCAATCGCGAAGTGCCAGATACGAACAGTGCAGTGGAGTCGATCAGTGACAATGCCGAAGATCCCACCAAAAACAATCCGGTTGTTAACGCCATCGACAACAAGATCGAACAGGCCATGGACCTGGTCAAGAGCCATCTCATGTACACTGTAAGTATTTGGCTTTGTTTCAGCGCGATTTGGACTGTCCTTGATGATGCTCAACTTTTCGGTTTTCATTGTTTTTAGCTCCTAATTAGCCAAGAAAGCTGTGTGTTTGTAAACTGGATTGGTGCAGTCGCTGGCAAATCGGGCGCTATGGGATTGCGGGGTTTCAAACCTGTAAAAACTGTTATTTAAAAACGCAAAGTTGTATCAACAGCAACTTTTTTACCGTGCAAAAGTCGTTGCTTGTTAAAGCAGCTGGTAGATCAATTGCCCAGTAAAATCCCCTTTGAAATGCAAATGTGTGCTTTTAAAAATACGCACCAGCCTTGACATTGCCGCATCTGCAGCGGGCAACTGCCTTGCAGATTCAGGGTTGCGTATTTAAAAACCGCGCGTATTTTTGGCAATATTTCAACCTTGCATGCTTAGATTCCAGGGTTCACAGGATTTAATCAATTGACTTAGTCATTTTAACTCCGCTGGCAAAGAGCGTTTGCATAAGCCCCAATTAACACCGCTGAATATTTATTTATTTCATCTTTAAGTTGGTTGGAAACTAAACTTTACTTTCTTATAGTTGCCTTAAATATAGTGAAATCTGCATCTCAATCATAAAAATAATGAAAAGAGCACTGAGGCATTCTTTGGCTCAATTGAAGACCATTTTGTGCGCAAAAAACGTACAACCACCGTGCATCATCAGGGAAAATCCAAATTTCGCAACACATAAAAATCAACGCGTTTGATCTAATGAACGAATCCGTTTCAGGTGCGGGAAGAAGTTGAGGTTTTGAAGGAGAAAATCGCCGAACTGATGGAGAAAATCCAGCAACTGGAAACGGAGAACAACTACTTGAGGGCGCAAATTCCAAAGAACCAGGGCGTGGCGTCTCCGGCCGCGCCCAACGCCTCCTTCAACCAGCCTCAAAACATCGCCGTCGTGAATCCCAGCCCCAATGTGATGCCTCAAAGCTCAAATCCGATGATCAGCAATGCGAGCGTATCGGCGCCCACCCCAAATGCCTCTAATCAAAGCCAAGCCATTCCAAACAGCACGACTGTGCACCAAACGGGCAAAGAGGCCCCCAGCCTCCAATAATACAAGTAGTTTCGGCCATTGTAGGTCTGTTGGTTAGGTGACTTTTTTCCTTTTACTGTTTGAACTGATTGGAGACCCGCTGTTGCTTCCGATAGCTTCGGACAGCTGAGAAAGTGTACATAGTTTAAGGTCGAGTGGATAGAGAGTATCTGACTTTAGTAATTATTTTCTAGTTACGTTCTCTACGTGTTTGTGTCTTTTATCTACCTCAGTAATTTTAAATTTCTTGCAAGGAATCTGCGCCGCCCGGTAGCTAAGTGGAACTTTTTCATGGAAAGTCATTATTATTTAAACTGATGCTTTTGCACTAAAATCAGGTACTCTTCAAAGGCTCCATTGCATTCTACTAAAGCGCAAAAAGTCATTATATGATGGGTGTTCACTTTATGATTAAGTACATGGGGCACATGTTCAAACACCTTGCTTTTTTATAACTAATTTTTCTGATAAATATAGACCTTTTTCGCCAACCCAGTTGTTTTTCAGTAATTTCATGGTGAAAATTAAAGTATGTTAGGAGAATATTTGCATACTGGCGTATCATATCCGGCTATGATCATCCCTTTATGGATATGGGACGCTTTTGCACGCGCACACGACCAGTTTCCTCCTCATAAAGAAAATAAAATTGCGCAGTTTATGAAACTAAGCCCCCATGTACGTTTGCTCTAGATTAGCGCGTTTTAGGACAACACTTAGCTGGAAAGGGGGCGAAATGATCGATGTTACATAGCGGATTATTTGTCAATTACATATACCTTGTAGCCCATCTTAGCTTGATGAACTTCCAAATCATAGAATATGATTTCCTAGTAGATAGTTGAATCGATTTAGCTCTCTTAAGGGCCAGCATCTTGTGCACCGATTAGTTCATGCCGCATGAAGTAGTTCTAAGATATAATGCAACCAACATATACTTATCGCTGTTATCGTAAAAGGAATAAATGGAAAATTGGCCGAAACCTATTGTAATTGTAAATCGTGTAAAAAATTGTAAAGTATGTAAATTAACGAGAAAAGAAAGGCCAAATGTTGATTTGGTGCTAATTAAAACTGTGATTTTTACTATTTTAAAATATTTTTCTGTTCGGTTTTATCGTTTATCCGGATAAATGATAATAATAAAAATCCCTATTTTTGTATACTCGCCGAAATTCTGGACGCTCCAATCTCCCACCTCGCCTAGATTCTTCATACCGTTTAAGGGTTATTTTAATTTTGTAATGTCTTCGTTTAATCGCACTAGTGATAAGAGTATGTTTTTGCGCTTGACGAATTAAAATAATTCAGCAAATACTTAGTGAACGATCAAGGCTGTAGGCTAATAATTCGAAACGTGTATGTTACTAGGATTTATTTATCACTGTGTATTGCATAGTTATTCAAATATATATGCCTATCAAGAGAACATGTCTTCAACTGTCCGCAATCTCCTCTTCAAACATGTAAACATTTAGAAGACTTCCTCATTTTATTTTTCCTTCAAGGCATGATCTTCAGCATGTGCGGTTTGATGATGCGAATGAAATGGTGCGCTTGGGTCGCCCTGTATTGCTCCTGCATCAGTTTCGCCAACACTCGTGTCTCTGAAGACACCAAGCAGGTAAATTGCAAGATTTTGTGATCTCCTGATTCATGACTTGAATTTTCAGGTTTTCAGTTCCTTCATGCTGTCGTTTTCCGCCATAGTCATGTCCTATCTGCAGAATCCTGCCCCCATGACGCCTCCATGGGGCTCATCGACCGACTGAAGGTAAACATGCCCAAAACACCGGTTTTTTGTTAAAAACATCATATATTAATCTTCAATTAACAACGTGGGAAAGCGTCTTAGTAGAATAGTGTTATTTACAGTTTGTTTTAAGTGGTGCAATTTTCTTTCATGATTAAAGGACGGGGTTTATGTACAAAGAGATTTGTCTCAACATATTGCAAACAACCTTATTGGATGCGCCACAATATAAAGTGTGTTGCTGACTTGAACCAACAATCACAGCCACTGAATATCAGCAACTTTGCAACTTGTTACTGCAGAGCATATTGTTGAATATCTAGAAAAACATGCCTGATGTAAAACTTTTACTTAGGTCTAGACGTTTGTAATGTTTAAGTACTTTATCGAGGATGAAACTCAACTGTGAAGTGAAAATTGCACAAACACTGCCAGCATTTGTCCAGCAATGGGAACCTATAAATACCACCCTAATGCATAGATTAGTTTCCAACTCGTCTCTAAAAAAATACTACAAAGCCACATCGCGGTACTTGGAAATTTCATCAGCTGAATTGTTGCTGAGCGAGTTCCTGCTATTGAGCCGTTCCAGCTGCTTTTTGTAGATGAGAAAATCCGGCCCATCCAAAGGGCCGTAATAGATCGGAACCCCGTAGTTTTCCATGGGCTGGGCATAAAACCCTGACCGGTTCCTAATTATATGGCTGCTTTTGCTCCCATCCAGAGTATCCACTGATTTGCATCGCGATAGCTTCGAAGGAACGGTGGAATAATTGATCTCTGACATGGCTCTTTTTGGTGGTTTTTCCCCGTAGACAGTCGGTTGCATCAGTAGACTGTTAGGGTCGTTTATTGAGCCCGAAAGCCATTGCTGGGCGTAACTAATATTAGAGGGATGGTCCAGAAGCCGGAGATCCATAAGCGAATGGGATTTTTTATCTGGAATGTTCCTCAAATTAGATTCGGATTGTTTAGTTGAAGTGCAACTAGGTACCGATTGTATCAGGATTTTCCACTCCTGGCACGTAAACGCTGGCGTTAAATTCGCTACTTGTGGTGGAAAAGTGATAGGGAACTTGCAGCGGCATCATATGCAGGTTGCTCCATAAATGGGGCATGGAACCATACCTTGAATGGAATTAATTCCTTAACCAAGTCACTTCCGCGGAATTTTAATGGATTACGCACGCAATAGGCCTGAACAGTTAGGCGCTGATTAAAATTTCAAAAACGCTTTGCCATTGCGACCTCTATTGGCTGATTATGCCTTCCTGTTCGAAGCTCCACATATTAAGCCAACTTCCTGCCAGTTTTTTACCTCTTTAAGCCTCCATCCAGCTGGTCGCCGCCCTCCACTTCGAAGCCATTGTTCTGGTAATACTGGCTGTTGAGCGTGGAGCCATTTTCCCCATTCATTCCCATCCCTCCAAGTGTTTGCATCCTTTTGACCATCAAATCGTCATCCTTCCACAGGGAGTAAAGCGACTGGATCAGGACTATCTGGATTAGGTTGACGATTATTCGCAAGAGCCAGCAAGTGAGCTCGGTGATTCCGTAAATGTGAGCTACGCCCTGGAAAATATAAGTTTGTAAAAATGTAATAATGTTGGGGAATTGCAAAAGAAGTCATGGGTTGGGATCGGGTTTCTGATCCCAAAGTCGAAATTAGCCGCAAATTGAATAGAAAGAGTGGATTTTAAGAAAAGGCTTTCAAACATGGCCAATTGCTTTTTACTCTCGTTCTGTTTGGGTGAAAACCGCGCATTTTCCTGTGCAACAAGAGTATGCAACTTTCTTTCGTACAACAACGGTTCTTTGAACAACGAAAAACTGGCCTAATCGCATGTTCGACCATATTAAAACGACTTTGTTCTAATGGGGGAATAAAAGTTAATTGTTTTTGGCTGTTAATTAGCGAACTTGTCCAGCATGTGATCGCTAATGGACGATTTCAAGTTTAAATCAGTGTTCGAGATTTTTAAAGACAGCGAAAGTGGTTTTAGAACGATAACGAGCGGCATTTATCCGGTTAAAAGTTGAAAATCGGCGGAAAAACGACTCACCCAATGGTCGACACTCATGTAAATTACCAGACCTGCCTCGGGAAATGTGAGGATTGTTACGGCAAACATCCAAGTAACCAGGCATAGAGTGTTTTTCTAAAAGAAAATATTCTGTATTAAATAGCGATGCATTGGAATATTTTTTGAGTGCTTATGCATCCACTCAGGCATTCAGTTAATGTGTGAAAATAAAATGGTTTTACTTATAAAGTAATTCAAACGAAATTCCTGGGTTCCTTTTGTTTGACTGGAACCCAGGAATTTCTTTTGAATTAAGTTGAAATACAGTCAGGAAAATATACACAATTATAAAATAATACAGCGTGTCCCATAAAAGACGAAGTCTTTTCTAAAGAACCGTGTCTACTCATAGCATTGCATACCAATTAATGCTTTTCATTAGTATTCCTAACTGTAGGCAGTCAGCCTTATTTACAGTCGCGCATCTGCTTGCAAGGATGACACCATTGTACTTGAATTTGTGGGAGTAAACCGAAGGAAATTTCTTTTCCATTGAAAGCGTTTGATGCGTTTGGCAATCAATCGCTGCTTAAGAAAGGAAAAACCTTTATCTGGCTGCCCATATGCGGTTATTTCAACCACGCAGATAATTTCTGGGGCCCCTTGCACGTAACTGAGTTATTAATGCAGGTGTTCGAAATAAGCGGAAATCGTTTGTGTAATATCCCCAAAGGTTTCTGCATAAATTTCCTATTGGCAAGCGGTCGGATTTTTTCGTTCTCGCTGAAAAACACGCTGGCCTTAATCGTATCAAACAGATTTATTTATCGGCCATGTAAAGTCCAACAAACGAACCGACCGAAGACAATGCCAACAAAGTTCGACTGTTCTTGCGTAACGTTGCTATTTTCCTTCAAGTCTGCGCGTTTTGAAATCGCTCCTATTACAAGATGTTTAACTGCGGATGTTTGCGGATTTTTATTTAAACATTGCATAATGTGGACGCTTTGTTCAAATACTGAGGACAACTGAATGGGAAAAAACCAATGTCTCAACTCGATTGGCCCATCTTCATCAGGAATCCTAAATTCATTCTCTTTTAGTCGCGCAAATAAACGGCCAACTAATTTTTACAAATTTGCATCCCTCCAAGCTTAAAAAATGGCTTACCGTAGCCAATCCATGCAGAAGTAATGCGGCAAACAGGCTCATAGCAAAGTAACCGGCTGAAAGTAAGACTGCAGCTGCAGGAAGCGTTTTTGAAGATTCCAAGATGATCCATATCAACTCGAAGGCGAAAGCAATCAAATAAGCAATCTGCAAATAAATCAATCATAGAAAGCGAACCATTTGAACCATATCGAACGGTTAAAATTGCCTTATTAATTATGAATTCCTTTCTCTTTCGTCCGTCGACGAAGATGCTAATCGGATTCCAAAAAACCGAGCAAAAGTGTTAAAGAATTTAATGAATAATTTAGCAATTTGTGCGGTAAAATCTCTTTCAACAAGCCAGCGGTGAAAACTGCCACTGGAAAAAGTTGTGCACATCAAGCTACGGTAAAATCCGATGGTTTACAAGAAATTCCTTTTAGAGTAATTGAAGTGCCGCATTCGATCAAACCTCAAGTCGGCCACAGGCACAAATAATTAGCAAACCGTTAATTGTGTTTTAAAACACTTTTTGTCTAGATTTTTTGCATTTTACCCCAACAAATCGGATGTTCGCACAAGCACACTACGCTTACATGGCAAAGACGTTTTAAGGTCTTTCTGCTAAATAAGAGATCGAAAATAGTGCTGTAAATTGGAAAAATCCATGTAAAATGATCGAAGCCCAATGAATGGTTTTTTCATTGTTCAAGTTGCGTTTGTCTATTGTTTTATTCATGCATTAGCACAGACGCTTTTTATCATCCGGAGTTTTTTAAATTATTGTCGTTTTTTCATGATATTAAAAAGTTGTTCAATTGGTGAGCTGTTTTTATAGACCTTGGACAATTTTTAAAAACCATCCGGTAAAAATAAAATTAAACCAGTTACCAGTAAGTGGACAGAAAAAACTGAGCAAACGCACTTTTCGATAAACTAATATCGAAGAAAAAACGGTCAAAAAACGCATTTTTCCCCATTCCTTAGCCGTTTTAGGTACTGTATATTTATTTGCCAAACACAGTTGAATTTACGGCCCCAGTTTCAAGCAATTAAATAAAACCTCCTGTACAATAATACCGCAAAGTTGATATTTACCAATAAATAGGCAGAAAAAAATCCACAAGCAATCGGCAAACTACAGCAAAAGCACTTTTCGATAAAAGCCATTGGAAGGAAAAATCATTTAAATTTACAATTTCGCCAAAGATTTAAAAACATTTTCACACACAATCAGAACCCGAACACGCACAAGCACGCATAATTTCCACAAAAAGAAAAACAATCCAGATATATGGCAAAATCACCAGAAGAACCGAAGGAACCAAGACATGGTTTTAACACGCTGGTTCGCTGTTAAAAAAGTGGGTGAGGCAAGAGACCGTATGAGTAATACCTTGGCAGGTTATTTGCAACTATTTGAATATTTTATTCACGTGCGTATTTTGCTTTCTCTTTATTTCACCTTCCCACCAACATCTTTAAACAATGCAAGGATAATTATTCGCGCCTAGCCTAGGGGACCTTCCATACACTCAGGTGGTTGGTTGGTTGCCTGCAACCTACAATGCTCTTTCCGTCATATTTGTTGAGGAGTGTTGGTGGGCAGTGTTGCCAGAAATTTACCCAGAAATAAATAATAAAATCAACGTCCACTCAGCTCAGGAACTTGGAGATTTTTGCCATTCTGCTCTTACGCGCTTTTTGATAAGGGCCCCAAAATCGTCCGGAATACAGCGATATTGGCTCCATTGACAACAAAACACTGTTCATTTTAATAGGCTGCGATGCCACATTTCTATTAACCTACCGCGCGACTTTGAACCCGGCAACATTGGTCAACTCGTTGTGTAACTTAAAGTCGAAGAGCAAATTTTCCAGTTTTCCTTGCAGCAAAAGAGCGGAAAGTGAGTTGTTTACGTAAAAGCCAAATTAAGTCAACCCCTGGAAGCCCCGAGGCTAACCAAGCCTGACTTAAATTAGACTGTACACTTGGGGGTTATGAAGTGGGGCCCCCATCCATCTATTACATAAACTGTTATTGCTGCTTACCGTCCTCTGGGATGTTTAGAAGCTAATTAGTTCTGTTTATTTCAGCACAAACCACCATGTCAGACACACCAGCCCCCGCTCGCCACATGAAGTACCCATACACTTTGTCGGCTAAACTAGCCCAATTTCCATACAAGTTCTACCTAAAAAATAACTGGGTTGTTAAGTACTACCTGATTTCGCTTGTTGTATGCATTCCCGTCTTCAAGTCGATCAGCAACTTGTGTAAGTAAACGGTCTTTAATAGGCTAATCTAGTGATGATATTCCGATTGTTTACAGCGAATTCACCTGCAAATGTTGCAAAATGGGCCGAAATTCGCCGCAAGGAAGCCGAGGGACACCATTGAGCGCTCTAATGCCTTTAATCCCGATAGAACTTTTAAATATACCTAAATTATAGAGTCAACAGTTTTGTGTGTTTTTACCTCTTCACTTGGTCAGGGTTGTTTAATGCATACAAAAAACACTCTTGGGGTCAATAGATTTAAGTTTAACGGCAATTTTATCCAAACATTAAGTTGAAGACAGACCATAGAACAAGGCTGAGACAGACAAATGAACTTCAATTGTCATGACGTTTTATCCAGTCAGTTAATTGTTTGAAGAAGGTGGGATGTGCGCGGTTTGCTGGGGTTTAATTGCGGAAAATTGCAGTTTTTCTCCATTTTTTTCGGAAAAATTGCAAAGCGTCTGCAAGTTAAAGTTTTCCTTTAACGTTTGGTGGTATTTTCGGGATCGCGACGGTGAAATTCGCGAAAATACGCCAATTCTTAAATTGGAAACTTTTTGACGTCTGTCAACAAAAGCTCCCGACAATGTTCAATTGGGGGTTAGGGGATTTTAAAAACGTTTGCATGCAGAAATGAGCACATTCATGGTAAGTACGACTGTTCCTTAGATCTCTTTAAATTTGACTAAAAATACCACATTATTAGTATATCTATTTAATAATCAGGACAATAGTATATATAAATAATCTTTATTTCCTACAGAAAAAGACTATCGACCCAATCGGTCTTTCTACCCGATAATTTATGAATAAACACGCAAATTGAGATTTATCACACACTTATCAGCTCTGCTTGACCCTTTTGGGCGCACAAATACCATAAGAAAAATATGTGTGTTGTTATTGTTCTAAATCCGATTTACGTTTGATTATGATCACTCGGGTTTTCCGTAATTAATTTAATACCGTGCTCAATTTATTTTTGAACAATGTTAAAATCAAACATTCACTTTGCCCGTAAAATTGCCCATCTGATTCATAGTAAGTACATGCCAATCTACTCTTACTTTTGCCTTTTAGGATTTTTTTTTAAATTTGGGCGCCGATTTTGCGTGGGTAAATCAGTTTACACTAACCTACAATTATTTTCAAAAAGCTGCTGTTAACATGTGCATGTATAGATTCAATTTTTGTTAAATTAATTAACTTCTTCTGGCTAAAATGTTGACTATTTGTAATCACCTTCTAAGCCTGATTGCTCCTTTACTCAAACTTTTTGAGTTTCGATACTATAAATGGCCTATACGCATTAAAAACCCTGCTAAACATTGTAAGTTCATTGGTCGATGAGCCTTTCCTTATAAGCAGTACACCTATTCATTAGATTTTTTACATATTATGAAAACAACACTGTAGAACTATTTTTCCTAAATGTCCAACAAGTAGGAACTTTAATCCATTGCAAAATTAACTTCTGTTGTTTTACCATATCTTGGGCAATGCAGCAGATAAGGGGGCGAAAACATGCGTAGAATCGTCCAAAGGTTATCCAAAAAGGCCAAAGCTATACAATGCGCTAGTAAATAAAATCCCTTATAATTAATATTCTAAACCACTGAGTATATGCGAAAAGGACAATGATAATTTCGGAAATTGACCTCTTCATGAGGGGTCCTGGCTTTATCAGTTTCGAAATTGAATTATTATTGTGGGGTTGCATCAATTGATTCTTTGCCAATACGTATTTTTTTCTACAATTGCCAGATAAATAAGATTTAATAGCTGTTTGAATTATTGTAGGTCTTGCCTCCACTATGGTCATACCACGAGGGCAAGTGCTGTCCGGCACCGAACTTGCTAGGTACATTGAACCAAGTGTTTTTTCCTCCAGTCTTATCGAGTGGATTTTTCAGGGAAATTAAGAACAACTTGAAAAATGACGTTGCTAATCTCAAGCGAAAGTATCCGGGCGTTTGCCCAAAACTGGCTATTGTGCAAGTTGGAGGCCGCGAAGACTCCAACGTGTACATTCGGATGAAGATCCAGGCTGCTGCAGCAGTTGGAGCTGAAGCTGAACACATCAAGCTGCCCAATACTGCCACCCAAGACCATGTAAGTTCCAATGAATCAATCTAGGGTCAATTCATAAGCATTTTTGGAATCCAGGTGCTGCAGGAGCTAAGGAAACTAAATGAGGACTCAAAAGTGCATGGAATCATCGTGCAGATGCCTATGGATTCCGTTAACGATATCGACTCGCATTTGATCACAGATTCTGTTGCGCCCTCCAAAGACGTTGATGGGTGAGTGGTGTTTTCACCCTATTTTCCTCATAAGTTTTGGTGGATTTTTGCAGCTTGCATACGATAAATGAAGGCAGATTGGCGATTGGTGACCTGACAGGGTTCCTGCCTTGTACACCTGTTGGTGTTCTGGAGCTGATCAAAAAGTCGGGAGCGCAGCTGGAAGGCGCTGACGCAGTTGTGCTGGGAAGGAGCAAAATCGTTGGTACTCCAGTGGCTGAACTGCTTAAATGGCATAATGCTACTGTTACAGTTTGCCATTCAAAGACCCGCAATCTCAAAGAAAAGGTAGGAGGCGAATTTGCAGGTTTTTGCTGGAATTTTTATAAATTTTTTTAGTGCCAACAAGCGGATATTCTGGTCGTGGCAATAGGGCGGCCCCAATTTGTTCAGGCTGATTGGGTCAAGCCTGGAGCTGTTGTTATAGACTGTGGCATCAACAGTATACCAGGTGAGCTCATAAAAACACTTGTCAAATTTAAAGCTTTGTGTATTACTCAAGCTTCACAATTTAACGTAAAGTTGTACTGGTCACTATCATCATTCTTCGCTGTACGGGTCAAACTGATAAAACCGCGCGTGATCTTTTCCTATCCCCTACCCGGGTATATAAATGAAGGTACGCGATTTGTTGTGGATTAGCCACTGAGTTCATACCAGCGGCTTTCTACTATCTGCTAAAAGTGAACGTAAATCGATATTACTAAGCAGTCAGTGAAGAATGGCAAGTAAACCAGGTAAAGCAGTAGATTTTGGGCGATTTTTCCTGCTAAAGGCGGAGTTAAAGCGTCTGTTTTTGTTTTAGATTCAACCAAGAAATCTGGCCAGAAACTGGTAGGCGATGTGGCTTATGATGAGACCAAAGAAGTAGCTGCGCACATAACTCCGGTACCTGGAGGTGTGGGGCCCATGACTGTTGCGATGCTGATCAAAAACACCGTCCTAAGCGCTGAGCGCAGCGCTGGAAACGGAAATGTTCAATGGAATCTAACTCCTCTGCCTTTGAAGTTGCTAAATCCAGTGCCAAGGTAGTTTTTACAGCTTTTTCGCCATTATTCGTCTCAAGATGCATTAATTGCTTCTACACAACCAGTTCGGTTAATCCACGTGCTGGCAGGTATTTATATATTAATTGATTGGCAGAAAAAACTGGTTATATATGTGACGGTTCTGCAAGTTGTTTGTTCGGACAATCATCAAATTGTTTACATAGACAACTAATTATGGAATGGTATCGAAAGGTCAGAATATGTTAATGTTAATTAAGCTTGCAATATTATGATATTTTACGATAACGCCGCGTTACCAAAGCTGTCTTCACTTGTTTTTCATAGTGTGTTTATTTGGAGTTATGCGGATTTTTAACACATTTGCTGCCATGAGAATCACCGGTGATCTCAAAGTGTTAAGGAAAAAAACTGCATTGTGTGTCCATAAAATTAACTTTTATATCATTTTGTTTCTTTGGCGCTTGAGTGATTACATACTGGCTCTTATGGTGACTGCGAATGTGTTCAAGCAACGCTGGGCTTATTAATATAGAAAATGAACGCCCCTAAAAGCATACGTTTTCTTTCAGTGATATTGAAATTGCGAGATCCCAAACCCCAAAAGACATCAGCGTCTTGGCTGAAGAAATTGGACTGTTACCAAGCGAAGTGTCTCAGTATGGAAGCAAAAAGGCCAAGATTTCACTCTCTGTGTTGAGCAGATTGAAGGATTCGCCCAATGGAAAATACGTCGTAGTTACCGCGTAAGGCAACAGTTTTCTAATTTTCTTTGAGTAGCAGTGAAAAATGCTCTGTAAAAGTACGGGTTTTTGTCTGTGACCCTAAAACTCCTGTTGTTATTTCAGGATGACTCCAACGCCATTTGGAGAAGGCAAAAGTACAACGATGATGGGTTTGGTTCAAGCCTTGTCGACCAGATTGCGAAAAAACATTTTTGCTACCATGAGGCAACCGTCTCAAGGCCCCACGTTTGGTATCAAAGGTTTGCTTTTTCCTGTTCTCTACATCTGGATCCGTGAAAACAAAATCTTCCACTGTAGGTGGAGCGGCTGGAGGCGGCTACTCCCAGGTGATCCCCATGGAGGACATGAATCTCCACTTAACTGGAGATATTCACGCAATAACTGCAGCTAATAACCTGCTGGCTGCCCAGCTGGATGCCAGAATTTTCCATGAAGCAACGCAGAAAGATCAGGCCCTTTACGACCGGCTGGTTCCCAAAATTAAGGGCATTAGGAGGTTCTCCAAAATCCAACTGCGACGCTTGGAACGATTGGGGATTGACAAAACAGATCCGGATTCTCTAACAGAAGTCGAACGTTCCAGATTTGCTCGGCTGGATATTGATCCGGAAAACGTTATTTGGACTAGAGGTAAGCCCTTCCATATTTAGCGTGTTTGCGAATAATCAAATTCCCGTAGTTTTGGACATTAACGACAGATATTTGCGAGAAATCACCGTTGGCCAGTCTCCAACCGAAAAAGGGATCACCAGGAAAACAGGATTTATGATCTCGGTGGCTAGTGAGATCATGGCCATTCTGGCCTTAGCCAACGATTTGCGAGATTTTAAGGAACGACTCGCAAGAATGGTGGTAGCCTTCGACCGGAAAGGTAATCCAGTCACTGCTGATGATTTGGGAGTAACTGGGGCATTACTGGTTCGTTAGTAGCATTTAAATAGAACGAAGCACGCGAATAAAAGACAATTTTTGCCAGGTTTTGCTTAAAGACGTAGTGGAACCCACTTTGCTACAGACTTTGGAAGGTTCTCCCGTTCTCGTCCATGCAGGGCCGTTCGCCAACATCGCTCACGGCTCCAATTCCATTCTGGCAGATAAAATCGCCCTTAAACTAGTGGGAGCCGATGGCATTGTAGTGACAGAGGCTGGCTTTGCCTCTGAAATTGGTAAGCTTGGAAGCCTGATTTTAAACAATTCATCCAGCAATTCTGGCCATTCAGGTGGAGAGAAGTTCTTCAACATCAAGTGCAGACAGTCTGGACTGGTGCCCAATGCTGCAGTTTTAGTGACAACTATAAGGGCGCTGAAGATGCACGGGGGAGGCTCCCCAGTCACCCCTGGCGCCCCATTGCCGTCCGAGTACACTCACGAAAACTTGCAGCTTCTCAAAGCGGGCTTGCCGAATGCCGTTCGGCACATTAATAACGTGAACAAGCACGGCGTGCCTGTGGTAGTCGCAATTAACAATCACACGTGAGTATTTCTGCGATGCAAACTGGCTTTTACAACACACGTTCGTTTGCTGATTAGGAATGATACAAAAGCAGAAATTCAACTGGTAATTGATGAACTGAAGAAAGCTGGAGCCTACGATGTGGTTTTGAGCAGGCATTGGGCTTTGGGCGGTGAAGGAGCCGACGATTTAGCAAAAGCAGTGGCTAGAGCAGTGGAAGAACCAAGCACTTTCCAGTTTCTCTACAGCCTGGACCTGCCGTTGAAAACCAAGATAGAAACCATTGCCAAAGAGATGTACGGCGCGGCTGAAGTAAAGTACAACCCAACAGTCGACAGAAAATTGAAACAGTATGAAGAACAGGTAAAGCTGGTTTTTGTCCAGCTAGGCTGGGAGTTCATGTGGGTTTGTCTGGCTGTTACAGGGCTTCGGAAACCTGCCGATTTGCATGGCCAAAACACATCTGTCCTTGACAGGAAATCCTGCCATCAAAGGCGCACCTTTAGGGTTCACTTTGGATGTTAAGGACGTTTCAGCTTCTATAGGAGCAGGATTCATCATTCCATCCACAGGAGAGGTGAGTGTTTTTTAATGGTAATTTGCGCTTCAATCAATGTTCTTTTATAGATCACGAAAATCCCCGGCCTACCAACCCGACCGGCCATTTACGATATTGACCTGAACATCGAAACTGGAGAAATCGAGGGGCTGTTCTAAGCTTTAAATTAACCATAACACCAATGAGCACTAATAATAACGATCTATTTTTGGACTACTTGACCTTAACAGCCGCTCTTAACTTAGCCGATCTGCATCGACTATTCGCCTCTAGCTCATCATAACTAGGCACAATCACATGTTGATGTAAAGGTTTCCAGTTGCTGGACAATATCTGATTCACATCATCTACCTCCAAATTAAAGTTGTGGCTGCTGAATTTCAGCGGCAAAGGATTCGCGCAGTTTTCAATTAAATTCCCCAATAGATGCCTTTTCACTATCGTGTCCTCTAGTGAGTGGAACGTGATGGTCACTAAGCGGCCTCCTAGTTTTAAATAGTGGTGTGCCAACACAAGCCCATAATTGATTTCGTTGAGTTCGTTGTTCACAAAAATGCGCAGCGCTTGGAAGATGCGAGCAGTGGAACTGCGCCTTTTATTAGCTAATTCTTCGGATAGAACGGTGTGAATTAAGTCAGTCAGTTCTTCCGTGGTGGTTAATCTTTTGAAGAGATATCGAGACTCAACAATCGCACGAGCCACTTTCTTCGCCTGCTTTTCTTCTCCGTAATATTTGATGATTTTACCCAGGTCTTCTTCGCTCGCATTGGCCAGGACGTCAGCAGCCGTAGGTATACCTATGGAAAGTGTTATTTTTGAAATTACATTCTACAGTGATTAGCTTGAGGAAGTAATCATAAAGGATGCTGTTTTTTGTATTGGTTGTACTGAAGTTTTACTTAAAAGCTGATCTTACCAGGATCCCTGTTCCCATCCATTCTCATATCTAAAGGTCCGTTTTTATTGAGCGAAAATCCCCTATCAGGGAGATCGAATTGCATGGAAGAGCATCCATAGTCAAACAGAAAACTGTCGATGGAGTTTCTTCCAAAACCCTCCTCAGCGAGCAGCTGCGGCAAGTCGGAAAATTTGCCTAAAAGTGGAGTTACTCGATCTGGAAACTCTTCTGCCAATTGCTTGGCGTAGGACTGAGCTAAGGGGTCGCGATCAACGGCCAGAATTTTCACTGTGGGCTGTTCATGGAGGATTCGTCTGGAGTGGCCGCCACTTCCAAAGGTCATGTCGACGATAATTTCGTGTTTTTGAGGCTCAAGGAATGCCACGACTTCATTGACCATAACAGGCACATGGGGCATTTCAATCTTAGTGCCAAGGCATCTAATATTGCGTAAGGCTTTGGGTAATTGTTTGCTAACTATCATTTTTCTACTTTTTGCTAGATCTGAGGGAAATGAGCTTCTTCAAGAACGAGCGCTTGTCTTCGTTCCTCAGCTCTTCCATTACCTCATTCGACAGCACTTGATGGCACTGCTCAGCAGTGAGAGTGGTTGCTGAAGAACTCAACAATCTTGGAAATTTATTTTTGTTGGAATTGTTCACCAACTTCTGAAGAGCCACGTATTGCTGGTCCCAGTACTTGTAGTTGGCTTCGAAGGTGTTGTCCTTGTAGGCCTGCGTCACGTGCTTAAGTAGATGCTCACAGTAGTCCCTACAGGGGGGTTTTTAGTGGAACAATCGCCTTTTTAGGGTTTGGACTCACCTGCCCCCTGCCTTGGTTGGATCGATTGGCCACTTTTCCAAAATCCCCAAAATGCGCTTATAAGAACCGGCAGCCAAAGCCATAACTTAGAAAGGGAAAACCCGCATTATTTAACGCAATTTAAATTTTCAGGTGTGTTAAATTGAGCACTTTGACGTCTAGCTGCCAATTAATGCAGGTTAATTTGTTAAGATTTCGTCTTTCTGGTGGTTTTTTCAGGTTAAGTACGGGCCATTTTGGACTGACATGTCTTTCTGACTGCGACAAAGTGACACTGATCATAAAATTCATAAAACTCTATCCTTATCTGCCTGTTTTCGTAATTATTTATAGGACTGGCGGCAGATTATTTGGGTAGCTAAATAATTAATTAATTTATTATTAAGAAAGTAAATCGAACCGAGATCAATGTCTACTATGATGACCATGGCGAGCCGGAGAGTACCGCGTGTAGTGATTAGGACTTTAAACAAGTATTTGGACAAGAATCTTCCAGAGGTAAATGTTGCTCCTAAAATAGCTGATAGTGAATTCAACCACTTACATAATGGTCGAATTTTCGGGTTGGGCGTTTGGCATTTATCAGTTTCAGGTGTTACCCATCTACCTGGTTATGTAATCTTCTTTTTCCAGGTAGCAGCGCAACAAACCCTAAACTATGGGGCTAGAGCGCTTTGCACATACAAATCCAGATCTGGCAATGACATCCTGGCAAGGTAGCACCGAATGAAATGAGTTTGATAGGTTTTTTAATCAATTTTCTTCATCTAGTACACCCAAATCAATTTGCTGCCCAACAGATCGGTATTTCAGGACTTCCAGTCTCCTGATGCAGGAAACAGTCAAATGCCCTGCTTTTCCTGAGTCTGTTACCGAAGGAGACATCAGGCAAGTGCCCATTTTCACACCAGTGGTGTTTAGACAGACATTTACATTTACATCTCGCTAGCCAATAACACTTTAATTGCATTGTTGCATAACGCAAGAGCATTGAAGTGCAGTAGACAAGTCGCTAATTTCAGCAGCTTTCCTAAACTAAGTTTGTATTGCGATTGAAATTTGCTGCCCATTAGTCTATCAAAAATTACGATTAATCTCAATGTTTGCTTATGCAAGTCCTGTTGGTTTAGAATCGAGAAGAAGGTAGGAGATGCAGTGGCTGCAGATGAGGTGATTGCCGAAATCGAAACCGACAAGACTGCAATGCCCGTGCACTCACCAACGCACGGTATAATTGAGGAAATTCTGGTGAAGGATGGCGACACTGTGAAAGCCGGCCAGCCGCTATTCAAGCTGAAAGTGACCGGAGAGGCTCCTAAAGGCGCCCCTAAGGAGGAGCCAAAAGCGGCTCCTGCCGCTGCGCCTCCGGCGGCTCCTCCAGCCCCAGCTGCAGGTATTGTTTCCTCCTAAGTCAGGGACTTAATTCAGAGCCAGGGTCGGGAATTGGCAGAAGGCCAGTCGCTTCTTGGCTTGAGTTATTTTATAGTGCGATTGGAGTAATTGTTTGCCGTATGCAAGTGGTCAATGTTTTTTCAGTTGGGCGTCTGTTGGATATTTTTGTTTTATGTTTGTAGCTCCAACCCCGCCACCAGCTGCTGCAGCAGCCCCAGCGCCACCGAAAGCTGCAGCTCCGCCCCCACCTAGGCCTGCAGCCCCAATGGCTTCAATTCCAGTGGCGGCAATTCGGCACGCACAATCTCTTGAGGCTACAGCTACAGTTAAGGTTGGGTGGTTCTTCTGTGCATTGTTATATTGAGGGTTTGAGGAAGTTTTTCTTCTAGCTGCCTCCAGCTGATCCCACCAAGGAAATCACTGGCACCAGAACGGAGCAACGCGTGAAGATGAACAGAATGAGGTTGAAGATCGCTCAGAGGCTGAAGGAAGCTCAGAACGTGAACGCAATGTTGACCACGTTCAACGAAATCGATATGACGAGTATAATGGATTTCCGCAAAACGCATCAGGATGGTTTCGTGAAGAAATATGGAACAAAGCTGGGTTTTATGTCGGCTTTCTTGAAGGCCTCGGCTTATGCTCTGCAAGATCAGCCTGTGGTCAACGCAGTTATCGATGGAAACGAGATAATCTACAGAGACTATGTGGATATTTCAGTTGCAGTGGCGACTCCAAAGGGCCTGGTTGTGCCGGTGATTCGCAACGTCGAAAGCATGAACTTCGCCGATATCGAACTAGCCATGGCAGCTCTTGGTGAAAAGGCCCGAAAAGGTTACTGGTTTTAGCTCAATTCATTCACGAAAACTCACTCTCGGTTTACTTCAATGCAGGCCAAATTGCGGTGGAAGATATGGATGGCGGCACTTTTACCATCTCGAATGGAGGCGTTTTTGGCTCAGTAATGGGCACCCCCATCATCAACCCGCCGCAGTCTGCTATTCTAGGAATGCATGGCATTTTCGATAGGCCAATTGCTCTTAAGGGACAGGTAGGGAGGAACTCAACTCAACTCAAATCAACAAATATTAACTAAGTGACGTTTTTATTAGGTGGTCATTCGGCCAATGATGTACATCGCCCTCACATACGATCACAGACTGGTTGATGGGCGTGAGGCCGTTCTTTTCCTTCGCAAGGTGAAATCCGCTGTTGAAGATCCGCGCACCATCTTAGCAGGTCTTTAAGTCGTTAGGATCAGTTTACAATATCACTACTGCTACTGAACAGGTTTTGGAGATTACGCTTCAGCCTTCAAGTAAAAATAACCACGTTATTGTTTTAGAAGTTCTCTTTACAAGAGATTTTAATCTTAATTCGAACTTTCTGTCCTGTTCCCTAAGTCTTATTTATTTGTTAAATAAATTATCATTCTGTTTATTGCGTTTTATTGAAGGCGCATTGTCTTCTTTGTCCTCAACTTCCCAGCGGTTGCTTGGGGTAAAACTGCAAAATTTCCCAATATTATGCAGAATTCCCAACCCGAGCAGACGTAAGTATTTGGAAGCATAATTGCACATTTCATCTGCAGAAGTTGCCGATAGAAAAGGGGCGAAACTGGACCCTTTGCAAGTTTTCAGTCAGTTTCTCAACCTTAAACTATCTGTTATAATTATTGGAAGGGTCGTCTTGAATGTTATGAATGCGGGGGAATCTCGACTGGGAGCATGTTATTGATTGTTCCGATTAGCAAAGCGAATAAACAGCTCTCTTTTAATTGAAAAGGCTGCTGGGGCAATTTATTGGGATTTTTAGCACGGCCAGCGTTTTCTTAATTTTGTGTATTAAGGCCACAAATGATCCTGTTAAGTATGAGAAACGATCGAAAAGTTTCATCCAAGCTAAGGATTTTTTTGTTTTCTAAGAAAACATTTTTGTACTTGAGGCCAGTTTTGTGGTCATTGGTTGCGAGGATTTTTGAAGGAAATGGGGAAAAATCAAAATACCTACAAAGTGGTTCCAGATTAAAATGCTTTTATTCGGGAAAATCTATAACTCATTGCATAAATGGGAAAATTTGATTTTTTGGGCGCTCTTCATCTGCGTCTTTGCTGGGCACAACAGAATTTCCTAAATTCTTGGCTACGTTCGGGACTTGAGGGTTTTTCCAATCAGGGGCTGATCCAGCTTTAAAGTCAGGGGGGGTTATGTAGAAAAAATACAGTCTTCTGTTATCTATGAAATTAGAAAAATGATCGTCGTTTTGTGCAAGATTATTTCAAAATTTCATGTTTTCCGTCCCGTTTTGCATGTTCCTCGGAAGAAAAATAAGACGAGAACGCTCGTTTTTACATCATTCTAGAGAGAAGTAAATGGCCTTTTTAGAAAGTGAACCATGGATGGGGAAATGTTGGCAGTTTCCTCAAAAAATGCTTGAATTCAAGAAGTTTTATATTTGCGTGGTTTTTTTTGAGTTGCAAAATCCACTTGAACATGACGCTGCTTTTTTCCAAGTTTTTCAAGAACCATTTGAGCCACAGAATTCGTTTTGGCATCGTTGGATAGAGAATTGAAAACTCGATTTAGTCGTTACAACCTGAGTGAGGAAATTCGAGTAGTTTTGATCCAGAAAGCAAAATTTGAATATCACACACTTAGGTGCAAGATTATGCCAAAATTTCATGTTTTCCGGCCCGTTACTGCTCATATCTCGGAGGCAAAATGAGCAAGAACGCTCATTTGTTCATCATTCTAGAGAGAAATAAATGGCCGTTTTAGAAAGTGGACCATCGATAAGGAAATGTTGGCAGTTTTCTCAAAAAATGCCTGAATTCAAGAAGTTTTAGATTTGCGTGGTTTTTTTTGTTGCAGAATCCACTTGAACATGACGCTGCTTTTTTCGAGGTTTCTCAAGAACCATTTGAGCCACAGAATTGATTTTAGCATCGTTGGATAGAGAATTGAATGGGGGGGGTCATGACCCCCATGACCCCCCTCTGGATCCGCCCTTGTTTCCAATATGCCCATTTTCACCTGACCTTCAGACCCCCGGAACTCCTGAAAGCGAAATACTTGATTAAACTACATTTACATTAACGGTTGCTGAAAAATTACCCTTCAGGTAAAGAAAGATGAGTGAAACTTTGCATTTAAACTGGGAAATTTTTAAGCCGCAACTTGATCAGGGTTTAACGCAATTATTTTTTCTCCTACTCGATTAGCTTAGAAACTCGTTTCCCTAAACAGTTGATTATACAGAGTGTCCCAACATTGAGATGAATAAAACATCCCCTATCGCAGCCAAGATGGGATAATGGACGATTTTAGGACAACAATGCTCAGCCAGTGTGGAGTGTCTCCATTCTGTTGGAAAGTGCCATAACAGCGTTATCATCACCGAACGAGTCTTGGCCTTCCACAAAGCCGCCCCCATCAGTTTTATGCATATTTGAGCCGCTAGCGGCACGCAATTAGCAGATATCAGTTGGGAGGTTGTAAGGAGGACCGGAAAGTGCTCCCTTAAGACGTTTTCCCCCCAATTCGCAAGACTGCTCGAAGGGAAAACAGGAGTCGGAGTAATTTATTCATGGCGAGATTTCGACTTGGATTAGCTTGTTCGCCTAATGGTTTGTTGTCTAAGAAGTTGCGCCATTATCAGTCTGGCTTCGCATCGTCCAGCTTCTGTTGTCCAAACTTCTATTCGTCCATTTTCTTCCGGACATGAAATATTCGCCATTAAACCAGAGAATAAGGCCCTAAACTCAGCGATCGTATAATACTTAAGGTCGTTTCCATGTATTGTACTCTGGAGGGCACCCTTTCCTCCTTTCTTGCCCAATGAAATATTTGCTTGCGAAATTATCGTCATAACTGCGTTTGATTACTTGGTTTTCCCAGTAATATAATGTGTGGAAATTGGAAACTATAAATCCGGGGTTTGTTGGCCAATTTCCTATTTTCCCGCTGATATTCCATTAATACTAACTTACTAGAGAGGCATAAATTCTCACATTTCACGAAGCTTCCATCAGGGAAAACCCACTTTATTTTCTGCTTTTTAGGTAAAGATGTTCAAGTTTTTTGCTTCAAAGGGCAGTGGTTTTTCGAAACTGATAAAAGTCCAAGTCGTAAATTGATTTTTGAAGTGAATGAAACTTTTGTTTTGAACAGACTTCTGTTGAAACTACCTTGAATTACATACAAAAGCCATCATTGCTCTGATTGGACTGGTTTTTTTCATGTGCAGAGACTCAAGTGTCGTTAGGAAATTGGCAAACACTCAAGTTGTAACTTGATCTAGTTAGGACGCGACGAAAATTTTTTATTTTCAGTTTTTGCCTTTGTCATTCGTGGCACCAACTTTGCCAGTCTCTAAAAAATCGTCCTTGCGATAAATAAAGTGAAAATCTCTCCTTGTAGAGTCGGAACTGTGTTTAACAAACAAACTGTTACAATTTCAAGTTGTAACTTGATCAGGTTTTGACGCATCGATTTTTTTCCAGGTTGGGTGTTTTCAGTTTGATCTTGTTTCTAGTTGTTGTAACTTTGGCACTTGCTAAAAACTTTGTTTTAAAGTAAAAAGAATGAAAACTTGCTGTTACAGAGTATCAAGTGTTTCTAGAAAACCGACAAAATTACAAGTTGCAACTTGTCCAGATTTTGAAGCCACGAATTTTTCTGAGCGCAGACTTAGTTTTCACTTTGTCGCTGTTTGAAAAAATGTCTGTGATAATTAGGATTTAACTGAATTGGATTGAAATTTTGTATTTGTGGAGTGCGAAGTGTTTCCAGCAAACTGCCAAAATTTCAAATCGTAACTTGATCAGGTTTTGACGTACTGAATTTTTTGTGAGAGTAGATTTTCAGTTTTCCCCCAGTTGCTATTGGTTCCACTTTGGCAGTGGCTGAAAAATCAGTCTTTCTGGGAATTTAAATACAAATTTGCAGTTTCAGAGTACAAAGTGTGTCTAAGAAACTTGCAAAATTTCAAGTCGATTCTCGACCAGGCTTTGGCGTTATGGATTTTTTTGCTTGCAGATTTTTAGTATTTACTTTGTCGCTCTGCCGCTAAATTTAACAGTGTCTGAAAAATTAGTCTTTCACTGAATTAGAGTTTAAATTTTCAGTACTAGAGAGTAGAGTATTTTTAGTAAACCGTCATAATTTCAAGTCGTAACTTGATCAGGTTTTGACGTACTGAATTTTTTGGGAGAGTAGGTTTCCAGTTTTCCTCCAGTTGCCATTTGATCCACTTTGGCAGTAGCTGAAAAATCAGTCTTGCGGGGAATTTAAATACAAATTTTGCAGTTTCAGAGTAGAAAGTGTCCCTAAGCAACTTGCAAAATTTCAAGACGATTCTGGACCAAGTTTTGGCGTTATGAATTTTTTTGCTTGCAGATTTTTAGTATTCACTTTGTCGCTGTGCCGCTAAATTTAACAGTGCCTGAAAAATTAGTCTTTCACTGAATTAGAGTTTACATTTTTAGTTCTAGAGAATGGAGTGTCTTTAGTAAACTGTCATAATTTCAAGTCGTAACTTGATCAGGTTTTGCCGTACTGAATTTTTTGGGAGAGTAGATTTTCAGTTTTCCCCCAGTTGCCATTGGTTCCACTTTGGCAGTAGCTGAAAAATCAGTCTTTCGGGGAATTTAAATACAAATTTTTAGTTTAAGAGTATAAAGTGTCCCTAAGAAACCTGCAAAATTTCAAGTCGATTCTGTACCAGCTTTTGGCGTTATGAATTTTTTTGCTTGCAGATTTTTAGTATTCACTTTGTTGCTGTGCCACTAAATTTAACAGTGCCTGAAAAATTAGTCTTTCACTGAATTAGAATTTACATTTTTAGTTCTAGAGAATGGAGTGTCTTTAGTAAACTGTCATAATGTCAAGTCTTAACTTGATCAGGTTTTGCCGTACTGAATTTTTTGGGAGAGTAGATTTTCAGTTTTCCCCCAGTTGCCATTGGTTCCACTTTGGCAGTAGCTGAAAAATCAGTCGTTCGGGGAATTTAAATAAAAATTTGCAGTGTCAGGGTATAAAGTGTCCCTAAGAAACCTGCCAAATTTCAAGTCGATTCTGTACCAGCTTTTAGCGTTATGAATTTTTTTGCTTGCAGATTTTTAGTATTCACTTTGTCGCTGTGCCACTAAATTTAACAGTGCCTGAAAAATTAGTCTTTCACTGAATTAGAGTTTACATTTTCAGTTCTAGAGTGTGGAGTGTCTTTAGTAAACAGTCATAATTTCAAGTTGAAACTCGTTCCGGTTTTAACGCAGTGAATTTTTTTCATTAGCCAATTTTCAATTACTATTGGTCCAAATTTGAACTCTCATTGAAAACTTTCTTTTAAAGTGAAATGAAGTGAAATTTTGTAGTTATCGAATATGAAGTAGCTGTAGAAAATTCGCTAAACTGCAAGTGGTAACTTGTCGGGCTTTT